ATGACCCATACGATTGCAATTTGTGCAATGTAAAGGTTTGAATGGTTTATGTTGACCGAAATGAAATGCACGTGGTTTATTTGCAAGAATAGATGTTTCTTTGTAATTATTTTGCAAACGAGAATTACTTTTTAAATCGAAACAAAACATGGCCAAATGACCAAAACGACCACAATAATCACATTTGTACACATGAGAAATCGAAACAAAACATGGCCAAATGACCAAAACGACCACAATAATCACATTTGTACACATGAGCATGTCTATGATTTACACTATGTGTGTGTACATGTGTATGTGATGAAGAAGCTTGATGGGATACACAATCATGAATAGACTTGTCAATTTTTGGTGCATTATGATAAAATTGAGCTAAATGGCCTTTAAAACCGCAAATAGAACATTTGTGAATTTTATCATACATATGTGCATAGTGAATAGCTTTCTTAGAAGAATTAACATTGAACTTTGCACACAAGTCCATAAGCTTTTTATTATTAGCAATACAAGTGTTTAGTGTTGAATCTAAGGTAGATATACGTTTTCTCATTTGATTCAACTCATCATTATGCATACAAGCATTGCTACTAGAAGTAGGATAAACAAGATTTTTTATCATAGATTTTAACTTATCTACTTCTAACATGACATCACGTTTTTCATGAAGCAAGCTAGCATTTTCAATTCTCAAAATTTCATTGTATTCTTTAAGAATTATATTTTCATTTGCAATAAAATTAAACTTAGTGGCTAGTGTTTCATGAGTGGATTTTATATTTACATACTTACTCTTTACATCAATATAGCAATTGTGTAATTTTTTAAACTCAAGAGCAAGTTCATCAAAAGTAATAATATCATCGTTATCAAGATTGCATACCTCACTAGGGTTATCACCTAGTGGTATTGTACATGGAGATGATGCTTCCTTAGAGCTTAAAGCGTGATCTTCCAACGCTTTTTGAATAGCCCCCGAGTCTCCTTCACGTGCTTAATTTTCATAAGGCTTAAGCACTATCAAAATGAGCAAATTTGTTAGAAAATAATGAGTGAAAGGCATTAAGCAAGTATTCTAACAAGAGCTTGTTCATGTTAAACAATCTTTTATTATTTTCACTCCATTTGGATTTTTCCAAAATGGGAACAACATAGACATCCTCAATAATCTCCCATAAATCGAATTGTTTAGATTGAACAAAAAGTTTAAATCTAACACGCCATTGAGCATAGGAAAAAATATCCAAACGAGGAGCAACATTAATAGCATAACCTAGACTAGATGCATCATACATATCCATAATGATTATATGCAAGAAGCAAAAAAACAAAACAATCAACACTAGATTAGCACGAAACTGATAAATTGTATCTTTAACTCAAGGTGATTAGTCCTTAAATCAAAGAGCACCAAGCTCTGATACCAATTGTTAGACCCTAGAGGGGGGTGATTAGGGTCTTATGCTAATCTAATCCCAATTAAAAGCTAATTAAAATTATGTTGATCAATTTGTTCTTGCAATTGTAAGAATGATATAAGATAGATATGAGCAAGAGAGAGATGAATAAGCACAAATAAAAAGTACGCTAAGCAAAACACAAATAAACGATATGTTTACGAGGTTCGGTCACCACGACCTACGTCCCCGCTCCTCACCTCGAGGAGATCTCCACTATCACAATCCGGTTTGGAAGCCGAAACTTTTACACACTCGGTTTACAAGCTTACCGAAAAACTCTCACACAACAAACACTATGCAATTATACTTTACACACTAAGTGTAGGAACCCAGCCCGTGTCCTCCTCCTCAAGTGCTCGGATGCAACCTCTCCCTAGGTTCGTCAACCGACGCCACTCCTATTGGATTCGACCCCGTCTCTCTCGCCTCATACTTCTCTCGATGTACAAGTGTATTACAAGTGATTCTCACAAATAAAAGTTAAATACAATGATTTGTTCTCAAATAACAAGTGAGAACCCACACTATATAGTATGAAGATATTAAACTCAATATGTGTGTGTGATAACAGTGAATGAAAATAATATAACTCAATAAATATAGCTAAATAAATGAAGATGAAATAGTAAGCTATATAAGGAAGAGTTTAGAAAACTTCTTAATAAATAAGAAGAGTAGTGGATGATGATCCCAATAGGAATTGAAAGCCACTTCTTGTTGTAGAAAACTTCTCTTGAAGTAGATTAACGAAAATTAGCTTAACAGCTCTTTAAACGCCTCTTAAACCTTTGTTAAAACTTCTTGTAAAAACAAAAACTCTTGGTTTTCTTAGTTACTGAAATAGAAGAACAACGGGGTATTTATACCCACTCAAGAACTCAGCAAAAAACAACTTGAAAAGACCAAAAAGCCCCCAGAGAATCAAATCAGAAACTAGCCGTTGGAATGCAAACTGATACAAGCATATGACAGGTTTTTGGGCTGATTTTGAAATTACGTTAAAAAAATCAAATCAATTCCAAAAATAGTAAAACTTTGGGAAAAGTTTCTAAATGATAAAATGAACATGTTAGAAAATGAATTTTTAGAAAAATAATTTTCGTTTGCAAAAACACACTGTTTTTGAAAAGTGTTCGTAAAACCTGTATTTTATGAATATGAAAATTTTGATATGACTTATAACCATGCAAATATATATCATGCATATATTATATGTATATAATAAAGCATGAAAGAGCTGTAAACATGAGATAAAAGAAATTATAACAATGTTTAATAAAAAACCATTTATATGATAGAAAACGTCAAAAATCGTGTTAAGTGTACATATATTGAGCTTAAATATAAACATACAATATATGTAAGTAAACTACTCTTATACCTAGGTAACTCCACACATATGAACTTAAATATTTAACGCTTGATTGTCGTGTGTTGAAATACCTGTAAAGAGAAACATAAAAATAAAACTAGAGAATATATTAGCGATAAATTGTTTGACAAATCATCATCAAAACTATAGGGTCAACATAGACTTTTCAAATGCTAAATCAAATAGAATATATCGTGATGGGTAAGGGATCCCATGAATATTAAATAGTAGTATTTCAAGGGTTGCCGACTTAATTTGGAAAAACAAGAGGGGAAAAAAAGGAACAATATCATCATCCATGAAAACATATATACTAGAAAACAAATTAAGGATCGTTATCAAAGCACAAACTCAGAAATCATAAGAGAATAGGAGTGCATAAATAAACAAGAAACTGATAGGCCGATATCTTAACTTACTAGCTGCTGTATCCAAGAAAATAAATCAAAATTAAAGAATAATCGCAGTCAGAAGCTTGAAGAAGAGCAAAGGATAAAATTTATACCTCGACCTCGTTGACAGGTGCGGGTGTCCCCCCCAAAGCCGAAGATAGATCCTTAGCCTGAGGAGATGTTTCGGCCTCGGCCATGAAGACTGCGGAAGTGAGGAAGAGGAAGAGGAAGTGAGAGAGGTGGACCGTGGAACTGAGGACTGAGGAGTGAGAGAGAGTGAGAGAGAAGAACTGAGGAGGCGGCTGGGAAAGGGGGAAGGGAAGTTTAGGTGTTTAGGGTTTGAGAGTCTGAGACTTTGTCTTTGGGGACGAGTCGAGTTTGAGCAGAATGTGTATTTAGACTATGGGGTATTCGGTCGGTTCGGGTCGGTTCGGGTAGAAAAGTTTTCAACCCGACCCGAA